TTGTCTGAACATATGCCATATCCGTCGGAAAGAAGGGTTCCGACGGAATTCCGTCGTAACGAGTCGTCGAAAAACCCTTTGTAGGAAAATGGCCATATTCCGATGGAATTTCCGTCATAAACCTTCCTTCCGACGGAATTTACGACGGAAATAATATCGTCGGACTTGAATTTGGCCTTTAATGATAATCCGTCGCAATTTTTCGACGGAAACAGATCCGTCGTAAACTAAAGATTCCGACGGAAACATGCGCCGCAAACTATATTTTCCGACGGAATTTTCCGTCGCAAAGGAAAAATTCCGACGGAAAAATGCGTCGCAAACTACACTTTACGACGGAATTTTCTGTCGGAATTTATAATTTGCGACGGAAAATTCTGTCGGAAATATCTAATTTGCGACGCTTTTTTCCGTCGCAAATTATACTGTTCCGACAGAAAATTCCGTCGTAAATTATAGTTTGCGACGCTTTTTTCCGTCGGAATTTTTAGTCCCAGCCCGAAAGACATTTCTGTAAAAATATGCATTTTCAAACCTGAATTTTTTTTATGATAAATCGACATAAAAAAAGCATTTCAAAACCTGAAATTGTTGTTTTAAAAAAATTAATTACCAACCTATGAAATTATATTTATTTACATATATATATATGATAATTATGTCCTAGTACAAAAGATGGTCCACATTTTGGTATCTATACCAAACAAAAGCTAGGTTAGAGTAATTCTATGCTAGACTAAAGCTAAGCTACGCAATCGCCTGGAAACCCTGGCCTGCTCCACCACTACCCGGGTCATCCCTTGGGTCTCGATGCTGAGGATGAATGGTGGAACATGAGTCGTTGTTGGTGAAACGACTCATCATCTCATCCATACTTTCCTTGTATCTCCTCTCCATTTCAGCCATTCGGGAGTCAATTCACCTTTCCATCTCGGCTTCCATTTGAGTTTGGAGAGCTTGCACCCTGTGTTCCATCTGGTCTTGCATTTGAGAAATGACAGACGGCGTGTATTGCTGTGAAGAACGGGAAGCTCGACCCATCCGGTTGCCATAGTAGAGCTCTGCACTTTGGCCAAGTCCCTTCACACGCCCTTTCTTATTGCGCCCACCCACCGTCTCCCAGTACAACTCATTGGGACTCTTCTGAATCCCCTGACTCCTTGTTTCTTCGAGCTTCTTCTGGTAGGTCTCCTACAAAATATTGAAGATAATAAAAAATATTGTTAAAAAAACAACCAACAATATAAGGTAAGGTTTCTTTCTTCTAACATTCCAATATCACATACTTTTAGGTGCCTAAGGATAGAAATAAATAAAAATAAGCACATAAGTCAATTTTCAACCCTAAATCATCCAAAATCATTCAAATTTGGCCTATATGGCTAAAACCATGCCTATTTTCTATGTTTTCAAGCAAATGTAAGGTTTCTTTCTTCTAACATTCCAATATCAATTGCTTTTAGGTTCCTAAGGATAGTAATTAAGAGAAATAATCACATATGTCAAATATCGACCCTAACTCATCCAAAATCATCCAAATTTGGCCTATATGGCTAAAACCATGCCTATTTTCTATGTTTTCAATCAAATGGACTCGTTCTTTCTTCTAACATTCCAATATAAATTGCTTTTAGGTGCCTAAGGATATAAATTAAGAGAAATTAGCACATATGTCAAATATCGACCCTAACTAATCCAAAATCATCCAAATTTGACCTATATGGCTAAAACCATGCCTATTTTCTATGTTTTCAATCAAATGTAAGGTTTCTTTCTTCTAACATTCCAATATCAATTGCTTTTAGGTGTCTAAGGATAGAAATTAAGAGAAATAAGCACATATGTCAAATATCGACCATAACTCATCCAAAATCATCCAAATTTGGCCTATATGGCTAAAACCATGCCTATTTTATATGTTTTCAATCAAATGTAAGGTTTCTTTCTTCTAACATTCCAATATCAATTGCTTTTAGGTGTCTAAGGATAGAAATTAAGAGAAATAAGCACATATGTCAAATATTGACCCTAACTCATCCAAAATCATCCAAATTTGGCCTATATGGCTAAAACCATGCCTATTTTCTATGTTTTCAAGCAATGTAAGGTTTATTTCTTCTAACATTCCAATATCAATTGCTTTTAGGTGCCTAAGGATAAAAATTAAGAGAAATAAGCACATATTTCAAATATCGACCCTAATTCATCCAAAATCATCCAAATTTGGCCTATATGGCTAAAACCATGCCTATTTTCTATGTTTTCAATCAAATGTAAGGTTTCTTTCTTCTAACATTCCAATATCACATACTTTTAGGTGCCTAAGGATAGAAATAAAGAAAAATAAGCACATAAGTCAATTTTCGACCCTAACTCATCCAAAATCATCCAAATAAGCATATAATGAGTTCTACTTTGCTAATTTGCCATATATCAAATCATATAATAAGTTTTTACCGCAATCCTTTTTGCTTTGGTGTTGGCAGCCACTTGGCCTTTTCCAGGCACTTCCTTGAAGTGTGTCTTTAAGAAAAGATCATGGGCATTTGGTAATTGGCCTTGGTTTTGTGCAACCTTTATATATACATGCAAAAAATCAATGAAAACATGTTAGCCCACCAAAATTCATTAATAGACAAATGACTTAATTGTTACTGGACATATTTTAGGAACCTTACCATCCTTTTAGCATGTTGTACAGCTGACATTGAACCTTAAAAGTGGGTCGGTTCAACGACATTTTCCATGGATCCGCCTCTTCGGTTCTTCTTGTTTTGTTCCGACCGCTTCTTATAATCTGGATCAGTGGCAACAATTCGCATCATGCGTTCGTGGACATCCTTATTAAGCCATCCTGGTCTGCCACCATTCAACCTGTGTGTGATGTTGTAGAACGTGTCACGTAGGCGATTTGCAAACTTAGATTCGAAAGTGTCCTTCACTTGGTCGTTTAACTCAGGTGCCCACTTGAATTTTTTCTGCAAATCAAGAAAATGTCTTTATTACAAAATTCAACTCCATCAATATACTTTATAAAACATGTATTATGTTAGGTTAAAGTTATCATATGCTGAACAAGTTCCAAAAGTGCTCTCTCGAATCTTCATCAACCTCTCCATAATTCCTCCAAGGCTCAACATAGTAGTCGGTTAGCGAGTCGGAGAGCACATTCTTCACCTGGTTATCATCAAACCTATAATAAAGTATAGAATTCATGTAAGTAGATAATCAACAAAAAGTGAACAAAACATGGTAAAAGTAATACAAATTCACTTTATCAAAGTAAATACGAATTAAAGGATATTTCATTACAAATACATACGCACCAAAGTGTGGAAGGGTCCAACTCCAGCAAGTCGTTAGGTTGTGGGTCCTGTAGCTCCTGTTCCTGTTGCTCCTGTTGCCCTTGTACATGCCTATGAATCTTTCTCCGATTGACGATTTCTTGAGAGGCCCCCAAATCATGTGCCTCCTCTTCCTCCATTGACTCATCCCCGTCAACACGTACAACCTGAGATTTCCCCTTAGTCTTTCTCCTCTTGGACGTTTCTCCTTTACTTCCTCCTCCCATGATGACCACCTGAAAAAGTTGTTAGTACCATGATCGCACATTGTAAATTCATAAATTAGATCCATAAGACATTAAAAAAATAAAATGAGACCAAAAATGTAATGCAATATTACAAGTCCGAGTAGTCATTAAAAACTAAACATTCGAAGACAATAGTTAAAGGAGTAACTACATATTCTCCTCTTCATTACTCTTATCACTATCACTATTACCACTATCATTATCACTATCATTATTACTATCACTAGTGTCATCTAAAAAATACATCGATGTCCTCTTCTTCGTCACTATCACTGGAGCCAATGCTTTCTTCTTCTTCTTCATCGCTTGAGATAACAAAGTCATCGTCATCATCATAATCACTATCAAGTTCATAGTCTGGAATGCACGGTTTGTGGACAAAGCGTTGCATGTACTTGAGGTGAAGGACCCTGCAAAAACTCTAAATCCACCGAAGCATCAATCACCGACCTTTCTCTGAGCCTTGTCAAGAGAAAATTGGAAGCGTAACCATCAGGAAACCGCAGCTGTTTGACCCACTCACACAAAACTTTTCTCTGAGCCTTGTCAAGAGCAAATGGAGCCTTTGGCATGAATTCTTTTCCTCTATCATCCTCTTGAAGATGTAGCTGGGGCCGTTTACAGTATTTAGCAATGTCATTCCGAGCTGATGGCGTGTCACAAGATAGCTTTTTCACATCCATTATAGTGTGAATCAACTTATCAAAAAGTTTTTTTCAACGTGCATGACATCTAAGTTGTGACGAACAAGCAGATGTTTCCAATATGGAAGGTCCCATAGAGTGCTTTGCTTGAACCACCCTTTTTTTGCATTCTTGAGATGTTTCAGTGCCTCGGGGCCATCTATTGCTTTCGGGAGGTTTTTCACACATTCCTAAAGTTCCTCTCCTGACATGATGTGAGGTGGTGAACCTTTTTTGACTTTTTTTTTACAAAATGCATTTAACCTATTTCGAAAAGGATGATTTGTCGGAAGGAATTGACGATGGAAATCAAACCAAGAAACCTTACCACCATTTTCGAGCCAAAATGCTTTGCTTTTCTCCATGCAATATGGACAAGCCTTCTTACCGGCTGTGGTCCAACCAGATAACATACCATAAGCCGGGAAGTCACTAACGGTTCATAGGATGGCTGCTCGAAGATTGAAATTCTGTTTTCTCGAAATATCGTAAGTATTTGCCCCAACTTCCCACAACTGTTTCAACTCGTGTATGAGCGGTTGCATGTAAACATCCAAGTTGCCCTTAGGGTTTTTAGGACCAGGAACGAGTAACAAAAGAAACATGAACTGTCTTTTCATACACATTGACGGAGGCAAGTTATAAGGGGTCAAAATGACAGGCCAACAAGAATATTGTCCCCCAAAATGACCATGTGGAGCAAATCCATCCGTACATAGGCCAAGTCAAACATTACGAGGTTCAGAGGCAAACTTAGGAAAGCAACTATCTAGGTGTTTCCACGCTTCACTATCGCTAGGGTGTGCCATTGTGCCTTGAACTCGAGGATTTTTAGCATGCCATGTCATTTCCTCAGAAATGTTTTTAGTTGCAAAAAGCCTTGCAACCTAGGTGTGATAGGGAAATAAAATAGAACATTCAAAGGCACTAAGCTACCTTTAGAAGTCTTCTTGTATTGGTCACTGCCACACACCCTACATGTAGATAATTTAGCATCATCTTTCCAAAACAACATACATCCTTTCGGGCATGCATGAATCTTTGCATGGGGCAGCTCTAACCCCTTAACAATTTTCTTGACCTCATAGAATGTCTCGGCCATGTGGTTGTTGTTAGGAATCGCTTCATTAAACAAAGAAGCAAATCCATCAACACATCTGTGCGGCAAATTATACTCACACTTTAGGCTAGTGATTCTAGAAGCCATCTCTAACACAGACAATGAACTCCCTTCGTATAACGGTTGTTTAGAAGCCCTTAACAAATCAAAAAATGGCTTGGCTTGTGCATTAGGCTCCTCCTCTTTTGAAACAGGTGCCTCTTCGGAATGGCCTTGATCTTGAGACTGACCAAAGGCATCCAAAACCATTTCACGATATTCATTTGACTGCCTTCTACGAGTTCCTGGAAACCCTTCCCCATGACACATCCACTCATAGTAATTAGGTAAAAAACCGCTACGATACAAATGATGTTTAACCGTATCTGGATCCCAAAGATGTTTGTTTTTGCATTTAAAACATGGACACCTAACTTCATTCGGGTTGCTACTCACGGGATGATCTTCCACATATTTAAGGAATTCATCTACCCCCTTCAAGAACTCAGGATTAATAGAATTCCCGACCTTCCTTTCGTACATCCAGCTACGTTCTTTTCGTTTCATGATTACAAGTTCTACACAACTAACACATATGCCATTAATCACATTAGTCATAAAGCACAATATATATTCATTATAGATCAAAGTGTTATGTAAATGCAAATGAGAAGAGAAATGATTTCCAAGGGTCCTTATCACTCCAACCTAACCCATCCTTGTACGTTCAATCTCACTAGTGAATGTATGCCAGAATTTCAATTCTATGGAAAATCCGGCAGCATCTCCCTACAGTTCCCCAAGTACACGATATAGGCGATTAGAAACACCTATATATGTACCTAGAGAACATTGTAGAGAAATGACAAGAAAGGATCGTCCTTAGAATTAAAACAAAGGAATACATTCACCACCTAAGTGAGAATAAATGTACAAGGACAGTCCCAACCAGGGACTATTCAAGACATAATCCTAATGTGTATGCCTTGAACGGGTATCTAGGTATATTATTATGCAAATGATATATTTAAAAATATATATACTTAATTAACATACATAATATTAAACAAATATATCAAGATTAAACTAAACAAGAGAAACATATCATAACACCATACTATTAATATAAACCAAATCAAACCAAACCAAAGTAAACTAATATATCATATTAATTAAACTAAACCAAACCAAACTACAATTTTATATATTAAATTAAACTAACATATTTCTAAAAAAACTAAACTAAATTAAGATACTTTATATTAAAATAAATTAAACTAAAACACATTATATTAACATAAACTTAACTAAACTACATTATGTTAAACTAAACTAAACCAAACTAACATTATATTGTTTTTTTAAAGAGAAGGGAGCAATTAATTAGTTATAAGAGATGACCAATGTCACTAAATTAACCAAACTAAAAGTTATTGAATACATTCTAATTATAATCCAACACACTATCTAATAACCAAAGTAACATACACACATACATTATATTAGGGTTTGTAATGTAACTAACCTTTAGATCTGCACTTCTTTTTAACAATTAAACCAACAAAATTGTACAAATCCTACAAAAAAATTAAAAAAAATAATAATTAAGGGTTTATAAGTAAACAAAATTAAATTAAAAAAAAGGGGAAAGGAAAGGCAACTTACTGAATTTTCAGGGGAAAATGGCGTCGCCGGAAACAACCACGGCCAAGTGGTTCAGTCACGGCTAGGGGACGAAGGTGCGGCGCATAGGCTGCGTTGTGGTGGTTAAATGTTAGCCGGTGGTGGTTTTTTTGCAAAATTAAAAAAAAAAACAAATTTTCAAAGGCAACACACTTACCTAGACGCGGCGGTGTCGCCGGAAACCACCAGGGTCGTTCTTTCTTCCTCGACAGCTCTCTCTTCCTCCTTATCTTTCTCATTCTCTTTCTCGTTCTATTTCTCCTCTCTATTTCTTTCACCCTTCTTTCTCTCTTTCGTTCTCCGCGGCGGTGTGCGTCGACGGCAGGCGTCACCGTTGTCGGCAGCTTAAGCGCCGCCCTCTACTTCTCTCTCCATCTCTTTCTCTTTCTATCTCTTCTTCTCTTTCTCTCTCTGCACCAATTCGTGTTTCCCCCTTTTTTTTAGGTCAAGCCCGAGTTTTGATTTTCAAAATGAACACAGCCATTCCGACGGAACACAATTCCGTCGTAATATTAACATTTCGACGGAATATTCCGTCGCAATTTTTTTTACGACGGAATATTCCGTCGGAAAATTAATATTACGACGGAATTTTTTTCCGTCGGAAAATTTACGAGGGAAAATGCATCGTAATCCAAATTTTCCGTCGCTAACGTACGACGAAACGTTTTCCGTCGAAAATTTTCAAGTTTTCGACCGAAAATCATATCCGTCGCAAGTATTCCGTCGCTATTTTGCCTATTTCTAGTAGTGATATAAGCCATACGACATCTACAATTGACAATGAACGACAATGAAAACGAATTTAACAAAATCAAACAAGAATTAATCGAGGAAGGGTTAAGAATCCAAATACATAAATATAACAATTCGGCATATTCTCGATTCGTTGTCTCATACAACTTTTTGAGTGGATCCGTCGTCGCTTTGCAATTTTGTGAGAAAGTAAATTCTTGTGCTGATTCCGTAACTCGAATTCGAGCCACAATCAATAGTAGCCCCCCACAATCGGAGACCAAATTAAGCACAAATAAAACCTTGTCTTTCGAAAGAGTATGAAAAACCTTGTCTTTCGAAGGAGATCGAAAAAACCTTGTCTTTTGAAGGAGACAAACCCTTTCTTTCGAGGGAGACATTATTGTAACCTAAAACAAAAGACTTAAAAGTAAATAAAGGTTGGGGCTTTCCACCGGTGAAATCCAATGGAAATTGGCATGTGTTTTAGTATTGACAAATACAAGCTTATGTGCTAGATAAACGAATTTTTGTAATCTAGTGACATTTTTGTCAATATATTGAAAAAGCGTGGTAGTTTATTCAGTACTTTTAGTGAGCTGTCCAATTACTGTTTGTAACTTGCATTTAAGAAATTACACGTGTTTTTAAAAAAAAAGAAATTACACGTGTACCCCTTAACCAGTACATGAAAAGACACATGTACCCCTTCAGTGGTACTTGAAAAGATAATTATACCCCATATAAACAAAAGCTCTTTCAATATTAGCTATGTAAGTTACATACTCTGGAAATGATAGAGTATATAAACCGATCTTGGGTTTCAACCATCATTTTAAGCTTTTGGTTGACTTAATATTGTATCAGAGCTTAAACTTAAGCTTGAAGGAAGGGGTGGATGAGATTCAAACCCGTGACCTTTGTGTCATACTAACTTTAATTTGACACTATGTTATAAAACCAACTCAACCAAAAGCTTAAGCTGATGGTTGAAGAACATAATCAGTTTATATACTCTATTAGGAATTAATGAAAGAAGTATTACTTAATTTTATTGCCAAAAAAACATATTAGCATGATTGCAATTTGACCCCTAGATTTAGAGCTCATTTTTTTCCCTCTACTTTCCTCCTTGAAATATCACGTAAATGAAACAACTTGCTTTTTGAGGAAATCAAAGATCTCTTCTCCTAACAAACCTTATAAATTTGTGCGTGGACAACTAGAGATAATGAGTTATTGGCTGACATAATTGACAAACGTGATTAAAAAAACAATTAAGTTTCCCTTTCGTCAAACTTGTATACGTAAGGAAGACTATAAATGCATGAGTTGATATTATGTTCACTTGATCTACTATAATACAATCGCTAGATTTTGGGCTATAAATAGGCCATTTTAGCCACTACCATAATCTCAATCATAATCTCAATTACACAAACTTCTACAGTATAATAAACGACAAATCTTTTTTATCAGTATTATTATTTTTAGTAATAAGTAATTTCTTGTTAGCTAAGTTACAATGTGTGTTATTGCAGCTATATTTACGTTACTTGCAACATTGAGCTTTACTACTACTAATGCATCCGATCCTGCTGCCCTTCAGGATTTTTGTGTGGGTGTTGACGACCCTTATTCAACAGGTCTTTTTACCTTACATCTTGTATGTTAATTTAATAATCTAGGCCTTTAATTATTCGTTATTGATAGAGTATAAAATCAATCTTATAATTCTAATTACCATTTTAACTTTTTGGTTGAATTTACGTGATATGAAAAATAACGTGACAATAAGTGAACTGATGAGTATAAAATTGATCTCGAGACTTTATTTAAACTTTTTAGCTGAGTTGGTCTGCTAGTTATTTTTAGCATTAGTGAATGGACTTTTAAGTTTTTAGCAAACACTTCTTTAACTATTTTTTTTAAGATTTGTTCACAAGAAAGACATCAATAGAATAAGTTGTGCATTGTTAAGTGCGAAACACAAAATATAATGTTGCACTTAAAACAAATATGACAAAAGTTTGATTTATTTTCGGATATCTCATATCTCTAACAGTATGTAATTTATTTTTTCTTATGCAGTGTTCGTGAATGGGAAGTTTTGCAAGAACCCAAAGAGGGTGACAATCAACGACTTCGTGTACAAAGGTTTTAACAAAACTTCGGTTATTGAAAACCGTCAAGGGGCAGAGGCTACACTAGTGAGCGTTGATCAATTTCCAGGACTTAACACACTCGGTGTAGCCATAGCTCGTGTAGACTTTGCACCCTTTGGCTTAAACACCCCTCATCTACACCCCCGTGCCTCAGAGGCATTCGCGGTCATGAAGGGAACTCTCTACGCCGGTTTTGTGACCACCGAGTACAAGCTCTATGAGACTATATTGAATGAGGGTGACATAATCGCGTTCCCTCAAGGTCTTATTCACTTTCAACTCAATCTTCGTAACACAACAGCTTTTGCTATCGCGGCTTTTGGTAGTCAAAACCCGGGAAGAGTTAATGTTGCTAGTGGTGTCTTTGGTACAACGCCTAAAATATTGGATGATGTTCTTACTAAGGCTTATCAAGTGAATAGAACAGTGATTGAGCAACTTCGGTCGCAATTTTCGAGTGGTAAGGATGTATCAATCAACACCGCAAGATCAATGTTACTTGAGATGTTATCTCAAATTTAAGCTAAGGTTTGAAGGAATTATGGAATACTATGTCACACTAAGGCTAAATTTATGTGAATTGTACGAAGTACATGTATTGGTTTGAATAAACGACTACTATGTCGTTATGCTTTAATTTATGCACGTTTCTCTTGTATGTGATTGTGTATGCTGTACTATGTGTAAGGATGGAATAAAGGACTACTATAATAATGTCGTACATTAACAGTTTCATTTTAATTGACATAATTTTAGGCAATGCACGATTTCAAATGTCAATTCTTTAATATACGTATATATATATTGAAAAGTAAATTGAGTTGAATCTATCAAAGACATTAAATGACTTAAACAAGTTATGTGAATAGTTTCCAAACTTAATTAATTAACATAAAAAATGTCGTATTTTCACCGTTTGATTTTAATTGACATAATTTTGTTGGCAAATGCATGATTTCAACTGTCAATTATCTAAGTTTATATTTGAAAGAAGATTTTAAAAACAATCACAATGAGATAATATAGAAAATTATTTAAGAGGAATCTATCAAAGACCTCAAATGATCTTAAACAAGTTATGTAAATAGTGTCCAAACTTAATTACGTAATTAAAATATGTATGTCAGTAATGCAGTGATGGATGCAATGTATTTGAGTTGAGCATGAAAAAAAAAAAAAAAAAAATTCCCATAAAATTTTATCAAATAACTCCATTGAAATTCATCAAATGTATTTTAATCCCGTTTATTTATTTATTATTTTTTTTTTATCCGCCAATGTCACATAATATGTATTGGCTAGAGAAAGTTACTGCGAGCTTACGAAGTCTTTATAGCCGTCCCAACCCAAGACTTATAATAGCCAATATAAGCGCGAAAGGACCCCCACAGACGAGCCCATTAGGTTTTTCGTCGCCATTGAAAATAAATTTTACAATAAATAAAATGAATTTGTTTATTGTTTAAACTTCGACATTCCCAACTCCTATACACACAAATAGTTCATCAATCAGTGGACCTTGCAGGTGCTTCTACGGTGCATGGTACAACTGTTTTGTGAAAAAAAAAAAAAAGAAGAAGAAGAAGGTGGAAAGAACATAATCTAGAAAAGTAATGAACAAATAGAAGTAGTAAAAAAAACATACTACTTATTAAAATGTATGAAACATATATCTAGAGTAAAAGAACATATTTGCCCCCCAAAAAAAGTGAAAATAATGAGTATCCATGTTCTTTTATTGGTAGTGTAATGTTTTTTTTATTTGTGAGATAATGTTCATTGCTTATTGTGAAATGTTCTTTGAATTTTGTTTTTAAATTATGGTGGGTATATACTAATAATATTCATTACATAATATTATATATCATGTTTTTTATGAATATTATTACAGATGTTCTTTAAATATTAAAAAAAAAAAACTTGATGTTCTTTACAAAACAGCTACATGTTCTTTCCGCGCCTTTTGTCTGTACCAACTACCAAACATGGTACAGATACCTATGCCTTAAAATTTTCATTAGTTCATCTTCTTTTACTTTTCTCTCTCAATACTCGTATAATAAAGTTTGAGGTATAGTATTAGGTTTGAAATTTAATTCAACTTATGATTTAAACTATATAGTGCCCATGCAATACTAAGAATTTTATACATTAAAAAAATGTATAGTATACGTATTATAGAAATATATGTGTAAGCAATTTTTTTTTTTTTTAAATTGATAAATTCTAGTTGGCTTGAAAATGTTGTCATTTCATAAAATTTATGTACGACGTACATACATTAAAGAATGAAGATCAAAGGGAATATAGATGGAGTATTTAGTAAGAAACAATAACTTAATTACCTAATAAGTTTTCATATTGCAATTTCCGACCCAATAATATTAAATAAGAAATTTTGCAAAACCACCTTTTATAAGCAATTTTTTTGCAAGAAACCACCTTATAAATTTTTTTTGCAATGACACACCTTAATCAATTTTTTTTTTTTTTTTTTTTTTTTGCAAATCAATACCTTTATGTCGAAAAATGAGGTTTGACCCCATTTTCCGGCGTTGACTACCCCATTCTACCCACGAAACAACCTCTCTCCCCAGCCCCACCCATGAAACCACCTCCCTCCTAAGCCCCACCCACAAAACCACCCTTTTATGGTGTTGATCACCATAAACACACCCCCTTTTACGGCGTTTGACCACCCTAAACACACCCCTTTAACGACGTTGACCACCTTAAACCCTTTTCTATAGTCCTAGCCATCCTTCTCCCCTCCACTGTGATCAGTATCGTGGGTGCAAATGGCGTAGTCAACGCCGAAAAATAGGGTTTTTTTACTCTATTTTCCGGCATGAAGAGGTATGGTTTTGCAAAAAAAAAAAAAAAAAAAAAAAAAAAAAAAAAAATCATAAGGTGGTTTCTTTCAAAAAAAAAAAAAATGATTATAAAAGGTGTTTTTTTTTGTAAAATTTCCTATTAAATATCCTTCAGGACCATTAGTTGTTCTATGGACAAATAATACATCACCGAGAATCATCTTCATAATACTTTGTTTATGAAGTAATTCATAAGACTTTTGAATTATTTTTAACATCATACTCCTAATTTTAAATGCTACATTTAAAAATTTGGTTATTATTTAAACACAAAATGTAAGTATTATTACTTCTCCCGTTTTTTTTTAATTGCACGGTTTGTCATTTCACATTTGCTGATGTAATACTTTGGTCATATATTAATATTTTTTATGCTTAAGTAAAAATTATAAAAGTTGATTTTTGAAAAGTAAGCGTCGAGACCTATGCCTTAAAATTTTCATTAGTTCATCTTCTTTTACTTTTCTAAAACCGAATCCAAATTTAGTTTGGATTCGGTTTCAAAAATCTAAAACCGAAATAATTCGATTTGGATGAACTTTCACATCTAATTTTGATGGTTTCCAATTCATACCTTTTACCACAAATATACACAATTATATATGCGAGTAAACATTACAAAAAGTTTATATGTTGAAAATAAATTTCGAATCAAATCTAAAAAGCTCCTACGACATAATATGATTAATGATTATAATACAATGTAGTTGGTTTTAAAAGTCAATATCAATATTTTAATAAGTTGACTATATATAGAAGTTAAAACATAATATACAAAAAAGAATGAAGAGAGTATTATCCAACCTATTTTGTATACGTAATCTCTACAGGTACAGCATAAATGCGCAAGTTGATTTTTTTTTTTTTTTTTTTTTTGACAAAGATATTTTGTTATGTTGATTAACTATTGTACTAGATTGTGATATATTACATAATATAAAATTTTATAATACAAACATGCTTTTATAAGCTGACTATAAAAATCAAAACACAACAAACAAAAAAGAATGAAGAGAGTACTATTTAACCAAAATTTTAGCCAATCCCTAATGACAAACCTATATATTTTGTATACGTAATCTAGGAGGTACCATAAATGCGCGAGTTGATATTTTGTTATGTTGGAGAAAGTACTAATGTAGGTTTGATATGTATGTGCAAATACATATCAAACATTAAAATATTGAAAAGTATTGTAAAGCACATGGGGGTGGGAGAAAAGGAGGAGAGAGATGGGCATGTGGGACCAGTTTTAAATGTACCACTGAAAGCTTATATAATATCATTGACTATGTAGTGATTCTATTTCTACACGTAGTTAGTACCACTGAATGAATATACAGTATCATTGAATGAATATATAGTACCACTGAATGTTCAATGATACTATTTGATCATCTAGTGATACTATTAATCACCCAGTGGTACACTTAAATTCAGCACATGGGGGTGAGAGAAAGGAGGAGATAAATGGGTAAATTTCATGTGAAATGTCTCTTATGCCCCTTGATATGTATGTCCAGGTACCTATCAAACCTCCCTTTGGAAGGCCTCGTTATGTTGATTAACTATTGCGCTAGATTTTGAGCTATAAATAGGCCATTTTAGCCCCTATCAATCTATCATAACCTCAATCACACATAGGTTCTTCTATAGTTCTATTTCAAATGAATTCAAAGTCCTTTTAAAGAGTTTTGTACAGAAAATTGTAGTGAATAGTTTCTTGTTAGCTAAGTAAAATGGAGAAGAATATTATTACAATGTGGGCTATTCTAGCTCTATTTATGGTACTTGCTATATTAAGCTTTACTACTGATGCATCTGATCCTGATCCTCTTCAGGATTTTTGTGTGGCTACTGAAGTCCCTGAATTTGAAGGTCCGTTGTTTTCATTTTTTTTTTCTAACTATTGTGATTAATTTATTATATCGATACAAATTGAAGTAGTTCTTTCGATACATTCATCTTTTATTGTAATTAACTGTGTATATAAACCAATCCTTTAAAGCTTGGGATTGGTTTATATATAATCTATTACCAATGTCTAGACTATTACAATATTCACGCTATATCTTTAAATCAATTTTGTGATTAATACATGTAGGGATGGAAAAATAAAATCGTGATCGTGTTAAATTCATTTTTATGTATATATACTTTTGAATTTGGAATGAAATACCAATCATTTTTATACACTCAGGGGGGTGGGTGGGTTAGGGTAGGCGATGGCCACCCCCTTGATTCTGTTATAAAATTAAATTCTTACACAAAATATTAATAGTTAGCCTAGTTGGTTTAGTTGAAATAAGTAGGTGTTGTGTTTATATGTGTTTGCCAATTCGAATCTTACTAGCTATATTCTAATTTTTTTTTTAAAGTTCTTTGGAAAAAATTAATCCCAAATTGTATTAAGTTAAAGTATTTTTCACATGCTTTATTAATCAATCTTGGCCCCCTAATATAAATTTTCTGGTTACGCCACTGTATACACTATCTAGTATCTACGTACTACAAGAGCCCTATAGGTCGTAATCATGGGCGGACCTACGAAGGAACAAGGGGGGACCATTGTCCCCCCCACTTTCAAAAAAAAAAAAAAAAAAAAAAAAAAAAAAAAAAAAAAAAAAAAAAAAAAACCAAAGGAAAAAATTTCAAGAAAAAAAAAACTGGGAAAATGTTTATATAAAATTAAGTGTAAGAAATAAATAAGAAGTTTGCCTTAGCTAAGTTGGTAGTGGGTTACAAATAATATGTCAAGGGGTCCAATTTTAGGTTTACCTAGATCAGGGTTTGAATCCCCCTTGTAACATCATTTCTTTTTTTTTTGGGTGTTTTATTTTAACCAAACCACTGGACTACTCCCTTTTTCCTATTTCCCAACCACGAGGCACGAACCACCACCCACACGCCCACGAGACACGGGCTGCAGCGAGCATCTTCGGCAAATGTTTGCTAAGAAATTAACATCACAAGATAATATGGCATTCGAATCCCCCTTTTAAAATCATTCCTTTTGGGGGGTGTTTTATTTTAACCAAACCACTCGACTACTTTCTTATTCCTATTTCCCAACCACGAGGCACGAACCACCACCCACGCGGTCACGAGTCACGGACTACAGCGAGCATCTTTGGCAAATGTTTGCTAAGAATTTAACATCAAAATATAATATGGCATTCGAATCCTCCTTTTAACATCATTCCCTTTTTTTGGGGGGTGTTTTATTTCAACCAAACTACTCGACTACTCCCTTATTCCTATTTCCCAACCAAACCTGAATTACTTGTATTGTGTACCCTTTTTTAAAAAAAAAAAATAAAATAGGTTGATGTTAGTTGAATTATCGAAATTGTCCCCCATTGTCAAATTTTTAGGTCCGCCACTGGTCGTAATTAGTTTTCACATTAATAGTTCAAGTTAATATACTTTGCTATATGAAGCACAATAATAACAAGATTCAATGCGATGAAATACTAAGCTAATTTATTTTTTCCTTGTGAAGTTTTCGTGAATGGAAAGTTTTGCAAGAATCCTAAGAAGGTGACAGCCGACGATTTCTTTTACAAAGGGTTTAATATACCTGGCGAAATAAAGATTCCTCAAGGAGCAGTAGTCACTATGGTAAACTATAAAAATCTTCCAGGACTTAACACACAAGGTATATCGATAGCTCGTGCAGACTACGCACCCTTCGGCGTAAACGCCCCTCATGAACATCCTCGTGCCACCGAGGTTTTTGCTGTGGTGAAGGGATCTTTCTATGCCGGTTTTGTGACCACCGATAACAAGCTCTATGATAAAATTTTGAATGAGGGCGATGCTATGGTCTTCCCTCGAAGTCTATACCACTTTCAACTTAATCTTGGTGACACTAATGCTTTTGCCTTTGTCGCCTTTAATAGCCAAAATCCAGCACGAGCTGATGTTGCTCGTGGTGTATTTGGAGCTAAGGGTGTGTTTGGAACAACGCCGAAAATTTATGATGATGTTCTTAGCAAGACTTTTCTAGTTGATAAGACCGTGATTGAACAGATTCAATCTCAAATTTTGAGTATCAACGTATAAGCCCGTTTCAATCGACACCACAAGATCATCAATGACTCAATGCTAGTTGATAATACGGCTCTTGATAATAAGTACTTATATGATTAATGCCTAGATTATGGTCTGAATAGTGGAGGACTACTATGTCACGCTACTTATTATTTATTTATGTGTGTTGTACGAAGTTTAGACTTTAGATCTTGGTTTAAATAAAAGACAACTATGTTATTATCTTGCTTTAATTTATTTTAATAAAATTTCTGCTTGTGTAATTTAAGGATAGTTGAATGGACTATTACAATAATGTCATTATGTTTTAATTTATGTTCAGTCTATCTCAATGATTTGTAGCTTGTATGTAATTGCACGTAACTTTGTATGAGTGCATGCTTCGAATAAGGGCTAGCCAATTATTTCCCAAACTAAAGAATGATCATATTTATCTACTTTATTTTAATTTTTGCAATACATTTTTTTTAGGGATCCCTGGTCGAATTAGTTCGAGCTATGTTAAATTTTTAACTAGTGGCTTTCTGGTTTCCAAATTAAAAAAATTAAAAAATATATAAAAAAAAAAAAAAAATCCAGTGGCTTTCTTGTAATAATGATGAGCAAATGTATCATGATACCATCTCATGTTTTATCAATCTTACATGCATGTTTAGTCATAATGAAGGCAACCTAACTACGAACGGTAGCCTATGTTTTGTAACGTCGTTTCGTGCTTCGTCCCCACCCATCAAGCCATCACCATTTTCACCAAAATCACCATGAAGGAGCTCCAACCACCTTCCACCAAAAGAGCATAATATGCCAAATAAAGCAATTTTGCAATTACTTATTTGTAACATTGCAAAAAGTATTATATTGCAATTAAATAAAAACGGAAGAAATATACATTGTTGTATCAGGGCCAACTATTAAGCAATGAAAACTAATGCAACTACATAATAAGGCCTAAAATTTGGTTAGGACCTCGATACGATGTTACTCGTACGATATTCGTGTTCCTTTATTCTGTCCTCTTTTATTTTTTATTTTTACATGATCACTTTAATTTGTCATGGTAAAAATTAGTGCGAGTAGGAAAAATTGAAGTTAGTGGCAAGGAAAAGGATTATCGCTACGTTATTCAAGATTTTAAGATCGGTCCTTTTCGTTTTATCCTAAAACCATCAATGTGTCCCCATTACATTACCTTATAATAACGGCAACTGAATTTTGTTTTGTTGCCCATTATCAAATGATGCGTGATTAATATTCAGTGTTATTAAAGAATCAACTCAATCAAAAGATTAAGCTAATGGTTGAGATCCGAAAATATGTTTTATAGTCTATCAGTTCATAACTTTTTCATATTTATAAATTTACATTTATATAACTAATTAATATTTACAGAGCATTTTATTCCCGTGAGAGTTATCAGGAACAATCTACTACCTCTGTTAATGGTTATCTGCAACTTTGGGATATTATTTGTGAGATATAAAAATTCCAAAGTTGCAGATTGAGAGAATATGTGAATATTTGCCGTAGGCTTCTCATTCATCAAAGATTAGTATATATACAAGATTAGGCGTCTAGGTTAAGCTACGCTAAACTAGGAAAGATATACACAAAATATATGCAAGATAATTACAAAAGATTATTTCCATAATCTAACACACCCCCGCAGTCGAAACGATAGGACTACGAACGCTGAGACTGTCCCGAAAATCATCAAATAAAACCTTGGGCAGACCTTAAGTGAAAATGTCTGCAATCTAGTAACGGGATGGAACATGTAGGACACGAACTTCGCCGCATTGAACCTTCTCACGAACAAAGTGAATGTCCATCTCAATGTGTTTAGTGCGCTGATGTTGTACCGGATTACTAGAGAGATAAATCGCACTAACATTGTCACAATAAACCAATGTTGCTTTCGGAATGGGAAGAAATAGCTCTAGCAACAAATTCCGAATCCAGCAGGATTCAGAAACCACATTTGCAACCCCTCTGTATTCTGCTTCGCAACTGGATTTAGACAAAGTGGGTTGGCTTTTCGAAGACCAAGAAATCAGATTATCACCAAGGTACACACAATACCCTGATGTAGAACGACGAGTGTCCGGACACCCGCCCCAATCTGCATCCGTGTAAGACACAAGAGAAGATACGGGAGATTTATGCAGTTGTAACCCAAAATTTGTCGTACCTTTAATATATCGAAGAATGCGTTTCAACGCATCCATGTGCTCAACACAGGGTGAGTGCATAAACAAGCATACTTGCTGAACCGCATAAGAGATATCAGGTCGAGTGAAAGTCAAGTACTGCAAAGCACCACAGAGGCGCCGATAAGAAGTAGGATCGTCATATGGAGCACCCTCCTTAGTGCTCAATTTTCCTTTGGTGTCAACAGGAGTAGACGAAGGCTTGCAGTTCGCCATTCCTGCTTTTTCCAAAATTTCCTGTGCATACTTCTTTTGAGATAAAAATAAACCATTATTACCTCTAGTAACAGCAATACCCAAAAAATAACTCAAGGGACCCAGATCTTTCATAGCAAATTCAGAGCTGAGCCTAGAAATAATATGTCGTCGGAGAGAGTCCGAAGAAGCAGTAAGCACAATATCATCAACATATAGAAGGAGAGAAGCAGTATCATTACCATGGCGATAGATGAACAGTGAGGTATCAGATTTGCTATTAGCAAAACCAATAGTAGCCACAAAATCTGCAAAACGTTTGTACCACGCTCGGGGTGCCTGTTTCAGACCATAAAATGACTTTTCCAATAAACATACATGATCAGGTTTGTCGGGATCCTTGAATCCCATAGGTTGATACATGTAGACTGTTTCATTCAAATGACCATGTAAGAAAGCATTTTTCACATCCAATTGATGAATTAGCCAAGACTTAGCCAAAGCAGTGCTAAATACCACCCGAATAGTTGTCGGTTTAACAACTGGGCTAAAAGTCTCATCACAATCAATTCCTTCCCTTTGAGTTTTACCATCACCAACAAGACGAGCCTTATGTCTTTCAAAAGACCCATCAGACTTGGTCTTATGCCGAAAAATCCACAATGACCGAATTATGTTCACATTCGGTGGGCGCGGAACCAATTTCCAAGTACCATTGTCAATAAGAGCATCATATTCTTCCTACATAGCAATTTTCCAATTATGGTCACGAAGAGCATGAACCGGGTTCTTTGGAATAGGTGATATGGAGGTAGAGGTGTGATGGGATTGATCTCCGTATTTAGGATTGGGCTTGACAATGCCATGTTTACTACGAGTAACCCTAGGATGGGAATGAGGAGGAGATGAGGGAGGAGAGGAGTGAGAAGGCTGCCCGGGGTGCTGGGAACAACCCGCGGGCGCAGGGAACAACCCGCGGCCTGGCAGTAGCTGCTGGGCAGTAGCTGCGGGCGCGGGTGTATGATGTTGCGGGGCTGCATTGCTTGGCAGATAGCTTCGCAGGCAGCCCGCGGCTGAGGAGGGAGTGTCGCAGCTTGGCTGCGGAGTGAGCTGGGAAGGAGAAGAGCGTGCACTAGCAGATCGGTCGGCACCCATGGTGGCGCCCGCTGGTGACCCGGCGGGGATAGCAGAATGCGGCGAAGCCACATACTGCTGGGCGCTCGTAGGGGCGGACTGAGGAGCTTGGTGCGTGCTAATAGGGGGAGGTGCGATGCTAGCATCATGAATATGTTGAAGCAACGGATGAGGTCCTAAACTATCACCCAAGAAATCATAGGTGTGGGGAGTAGGAGTATGAATTTTAGAAAATGGGAAAACCGATTCATCAAACCAAACATTTCTTGAAATAATTATTTTCCGACTCGAAATATCGTAACACTTATAACCTCTATGATTACTTGGATACCCAAGAAAGACACAAGGAGTAGAGCGCGGTTGAAGTTTGTTAATTTGAGTAGAAGAGAAAAGAGGATAACAAAGACAACCGAACACCCTAAGATGAGAATTGTCGGGGTGTTTTTGATACAAAATTTCAGTTGGAGACTTATAATCAAGAATTTTAGTTGGTAAGATGTTATGTAAATAGGTAGCCATTTCTAAAGCGTGATGCCAAAAAGAGAGAGGCAGAGAAGCATGACAAAGAAGAGTTCGAACAATATTATTAATAGTCTTAATTTTACGTTCGGATTTGCCATTTTGAGGGGAAGAATATGGACAAGATAAGCGAAAACCATTCCATGTTGGTGACCAAATTTAATAAAAGGATCGTTTTTAAATTCGTTTCCATTTCACATTGGAAGACTTTTATTTCCCGTTCAAATTGAGTACGAATATAGGTTCTAATTTGAAGAAACAAGTTAAAAACTTGAGACTTGGATGCAATTGGAAAGGTCCACAAGAAATTTGTGTAATCATCAAGAAAAAGAACAAAGTATTTGTGCCCAAGAGAACTAGATACGGGAGAAGTCCATAAATCACTATGAATAATGTCAAAGGGCATAGTAGTATGAGATTGAGAATTATAAAAAGGCAATTTTATTAATTTTCCCATAGGACAAGAGTGACAAACATCAATATGAGCCTTATTACATTTGATCAATTTACTACTACGCAAAGAACCTAAGATCGCATTTCCCAGATGGCCTAAACAGGAGTGCCACACACTTGGAGAGACAACTGCAAAAGCTCATGGAGAGGAATAAGAAAGGATTTGACGATCCGAGAAGAAAGGGTAAAGATCGCCACTGCTATCACATCTCACTATTTTGCTCCCCGTCTGCAAATCCTTCACAGAAAACCCAAAAGGATCAAACTCAATGGAAACACTATTGTCAGTAGTGAATTTTTGAACAGAAATAAGATTTTTGATAAGCTTTGGCACATGAAGGACATTTTTGAGTTGGAGTGTGTTTTGATTAAGAGATTCGTGACCATAACCTTTAATTGGAATTTTGCTACCATCACCAACAATAATAGAATTATGAATGCTATTATTTAATTGAACATAAGAAGACAATTTACCTTGGGAATTTGTCATGTGACACGTAGCACCCGTGTCCATGTAGTAATTCGGATCGGGAATACCTACAATGTATGCATTGCTTGCTCAATATTGGGAGGCGCATAACCCATAGAAGAAGGAGGATTGGTCACATAGTAAGCTTGTTGAGGACGAGGCCAGGAACTCCGAGCTGAGGGGACCTTGCGGACCACTGCTGCTGGGCTGGTCCCTGGGATGGGTAGGGACATGGAGGCATAGCCCAAGACCCTTGGTTCCAATAGGGCCAAGGGGGAGGTAGCAGCCAGGGAGCCTGTTGTGGTGTGCCCTGCTGCTGCTGCTGGGGTTGACCCGACCAGCGCTGCTGCTGGTGGGTGTTCCAGCTTGCGGCGGCTGGTGCGCCACCAGCTTTCCCTTTACCGCCCTTGCCCTTGTTTTTCCGGCCACCTGTACGAGGCTGCCCCGAGAAGAATTCTGCGAGGAGTCTCCTGGACCCTGCTGACCCGTGGAATTGGCATGAGAAAGAAGCGTCTCTTCATGGGTGTTGAGGGTGATGTCGGTAGCATTACCTTGCTCTTCAAGCTCGAGCATGGATCGGAGAGTATCAAAGGAAGGCAGAGGGTTCATATGGCGAACCGATGTTCGAAAGGGCTTGTATTCCTCTGTCAAACCCTTCAAAAGCTGAAGTGCCATACGATTATCGGAGACTTGATCCCCAACATTTTTCAAGCTGTCCGCGAGAGACTTAAGATGAGTGCAATATGCCTTGACGCCATCAAATTGCTCCAGCCGAGTATTTGTAAATTGAGCATCAAGTTGCAAAGCTCTAGCAGACTTGCTATTGAGAAAGAATTCCTCCAACCGTTTCCACGCATCCAACGCTGTGTCATCATTATCAATAATCGAATTCATAAGGTCCGGGGAGATGGTATTATAAATCCATTGTCGAACGATGTCATCAAGGCGTTGAGTAAAGGCTTGTTCAGCGGGTGTGGGATCGGTTTTCTTGGCCAAAGAATCCACTGGAGGTGGAATGATGTGCTCGATCACCAAATTCGCACGGCAATGAAGTTGGAAAAGAGTCGACCAAGTGTTAAATTGCTTGCCCTCATAAGCTAGAGTGATGGGGATACAAGACTTGATGTTGTTCACAAGAGTAGCAGGATGAATCTTGCTTGATTCGGCCATGGAGGAAAGAAAAGTAGAGCGGAAGAAGAAAGAAGAAGAGAGAATTAGGGTTTTTAGGAAAGAAACCTAGACTCGTGATACCATGAGAGAATATGTGAATATTTGTCGTAGGCTTCTCATTCATCAAAGATTAGTATATATACAAGATTAGGCGTCTAGGTTAAGCTACGCTAAACTAGGAAAGATATACACAAAATATATGCAAGATAATTACAAAAGATTATTTCCATAATCTAACACAGATAACCATTAACGGAGGTAGTATATGTAAATTTGTGAATGGGTCCGATCAGATCTATTATTTTGATTGAAGGGCCTAGTGTTTTTTTTCAATTGTACGATGACTTTGTGATGTAGTGATGACGATGACAACCATATAATTTGAAAAACGATTTTTTTGTTGAGATACTATATTACTATTGATAAATATCAAACATAACACCATTGTTAAGGGTCCCCATATGTTCGTCCAATAGAAAATGTATGGTTCTTGATTAATACTTCCCCTTCTATTTTTTTCCTATATATAGGCAACTTATCACCTTAAATAAAGAGTGCGTAAAAAAAATCACTCAAAAAAGAGGTACATAATGTTTGGGTCCAATTTAGTCCAATTGGGCCTGGTCACTGAATGATCCAATTAAAAGCCCAAGGTTAAGGTTCAACTCTCCAAATGTGCTAAAGTCAAAAATCAACATCCTCAAAGCCATGTCAAGGTCAGTCAACGGCCCAATCAGCTTGGCCCAGCCCAACTGACTTCCGGGCCCAATCCGCCTCCTTCATTAACCAAGGTATAAAAGCCAACAATGTGGTCAATTCTTGGTAAGACAAAAAAGCCTCAAGCAACTAAACTCTTGCACAGCTTTCTCTCTCTAATATACTGACTTAAGCATCGGAGGGGCCTTCCTCGGCGTCCCCCCCGAGGCTAGTTTACGTGTATTTGTTGTGCAGGAAACCCTCGGCTCCTGCGTCGTTCGGACCGAGACCAAGTTCCCTCAAGATAAAAGGATCTTCCGAGATTCGATTGTTTTCATCCGAAACAATTTGGCGCCGTCTGTGGGGATTTAGTTTTGAGGAATGCTGCAGCTGTTCAAAAAAGTCGCATTCATGGCAAACTCTCAGCATCTTGGGAGGGACCTTATGAAATTTATCAAGAGCTTCAGCCCGGTACCTTCAGACTCAAACAAATGGATGGCACCGAGCTGAAAAACCATTGGAATGCCGATGTGCTCAAAAAATACTATGTGTAAATCCTTCGGATAGTACAATCTATGTAAGTACACTGATTTTGTTTATAAAAAGGCCATCGAGCCAGTATTCATTCAGATTGCGTGTATTCTTTAAGTCTTTATGCTTTCTACGGTTTTTCAAAAATTCAAGGTTTCATTCGGCGCTGTCCGGGGTATTGCATAATGATGCCTTGTACCTCGGCAAGCCGTAGAACCTGCCAAAAAAAAAGATACAAGCCCGAAGTATTGCATAGTGATGCCTTGTACTTCGGAGAATCTGTTCCTTTGGGCAAAAAGGCCATAGACTTATCCGAAACATAGCCTAAAAAATAGGAACTGATAAAGCCCCGAAGTATTGCATAGTGATGCCTTGTACTTCGGATGAATCAGTTCCGGGTGGTAGTTGCAACTCTGAAGTATTGCATGATGATGCCTCGTACTTCAGATAAACTGCTGCCCCGGCATGGTGTTTCGGATAGTTGTTCCCTTGGATGAATTGAAGAAAGTGTCACAAGAGTACCATCTCTAGAGTGAAAACTCTCAGGTGGGAAATCAGTACTTTAAAAACAGATGTAGAAAATAAAGCAAAGTGTTCAAAGATCCTCGGCTTAGCCGAGAAAAATTATCAGCCATTCCAGAATTCAGAAGACCTCATCTTCAGATTTCTGGGGGGGCAGAGGGAAATAGAGAAATGGCACAACTGATCTAATACCCTTCAGCTCAGCCGAAGTTTGATACTTATGTCGGTTTTTTCACAAGTTGAAAACACATCCGAGTACAAACGGCAAAAAGAAGTCTCAGCAGAAATGATTCTCGCTAGCCGAAGTTCTGCACTTAGCAAATATTTGAAAGATCATTCAAAGAAAGCAGTAAAGTGCGAAGACTGGTAAAGCGAAGAGAAAAAAAAAATACACAAGAAAGCTGAGAAAGTGAACTTCTTTGAAATAAAAATGTTGAATTACAAAAATAGTCGGCAGCCGCCCACAAGCGGAAAGTAACAGCTGCCGAAATACGTACAGGCAAAATAAAAATATAATAAGCTGTTGTACGATAAGGCAAGCTGAAGCAAAAAAAAACAAAAGGCAAAAATTCAGAAAGCGGCAAGTCTAAAGTTGAGCGCATGATGAACCGCAAGATTCTGAAGACGACTGCCCGAGTTCCTATGCTTCAGCCTGAGGATCAGACTGATCAGCTTCATTGGGCCCAATGGTGGTCTCAGCTCCAGCAGCAGAAGAAGCAGGCTTTGCACTCTGCCGAGCCTCCCTTTCCCTCTGCTCAGCCTCCAACTCCATCCTCTCAGCTTCTTCCTCGGCTTCCTCAGCCTTAAGGATTTCAGCTTCGATTGGAGTGGCATACTTCATGTGAGGGTCTTCGGGATCTTGGACCCATTCAGCACATTTGGACCAGTCCAGCTTCGGCTCAGCATGAAGGCAGACCCTTCGGCACACTCTGAACCCGTTTCTAAAACCCATTTCATACTCTTCTTGGGTATAGATACGGACTTTGAGTAGAGCCTCAGCATCGGCCAACTTCTTCTTCGTCTCCTCCAAGTCTTCCTCGGATCTCTTCAGCTCATCGACGAGCTTGGAGGAGGAGCCTTTCAGCTCGGTAAACTCTTGCTGAACCTGGGAAGCCTCGGCCTGAACTTGGACCATTTCTTCCTTCTTGGCAGTGAGCTGATCCTCAGCCTCTTGTAGCTTAGCTCTTTGAGCTTCAGCAGCAGCAGCAGCCCTTGAGAGTTGGACATCCCTAGCTTGGAGCATCTCTTCAGCAGCCATTCTGCTGGCTTCAAGAGATTCTAGCTGATGCTGCACTTCAGCCTGTGCAGCAGCTCCTTCTTGGATTCGGCTCTCGATAGCAGCCTTGAACTTGGAGATGTCCACCCCCAGGTGCTCTTGGAGGAATTTTTCCCCTTCCATCAGTGGGGGAAAAACTTCCTTCTCCATAGCGTCGCAGAAGGTCTGGAGGGCTTCAGCAGCCTTTTTCTCGTACTCCTCAGCCTTCTGCTGCTTCTCTTCAGCTGCTGCCTGCTTCAGCTTAGCAAGCTTTAGCTCTTCCTCGGCTACCCTTTGATCGTGCTCGGCAGCGTCCACCCTATCTTGTAGGGAATCAATCAGCTCTACAGTGAGAGTCTGATTGTGCACGAACTGAAAACAGGAAGACAAAAAAATAAGTAAAAAAAAAATAGAGCTGAATTTCGGAGGAAATGAAGGAAAATTACCTGCATCATCAGCAGTTGGTTAGACCTGGCTGGGTCAGGAACTGATCTACTGGATTCGCCCATCCCAGCAGTGGCCTTCAGCGACCAGATCCTTGCCCTGTCTACTTCGGACATGCCAGCAAAACTGCCGAAGTAGGCTTCAGCTCCTTCTCGGTTTTGACCCCATATGAGGTCCCAGATGTGATCTGGGATTGGAATTCGGGGGGCCGAGAAACCCATTTCTCCAGAATGCAGAGTCTGGAAAGAAGGGAAGGACGACGATGGAGCTTGATTAGCTTTGGTTGTCTCAGCATCGTCCTTCTCAGAGGAGTCAAGTACTATGACCTCCTCTTCTTCAGGGGTGAGGACGAAAGCCTCAACCTCTCTTGCGATATCTGCCGTGAAGCCTTCAGCACTTGACATCACGGCATCTTTATTTTCGTGCTCAGCAGCACTCTCCTTGACTTCTTCTTGGACCCCTCCCTTAGGTTCGGGAGTTCTCTGATCCACCTCCATCTCAGGAGGTGGCGGAGGGGTCTTTTGAGGAGATTGGGGTGTTGGCTGGGGAACCCTCGGCGATCCATTGCCTTCCTCAGGTTCCCTTATTGCGACGCCGATGGTCATCGGCCTCTGCTGAAAATCATGAGGACCGATGATGGCCATCCTTCGGCGCCTTTTCAGAAGGGGCTGCTCGTCCATATCTGAATCTGAAGACTCTTGTATTTGATCTTCGGGACGAACAGGAGCTTTGCCTTCTCTGTGTCTGTTACTCTCTTCAGACTGTAACAGACAGGGGGGAAGAAGAGTGTGAGTAAAAAAAAAAAAAAAAAAAAAAAAGAAGAAAGACAAAGTTAAGTCTAAAGGCTCACCGAGGTCTTCAGCAAAGCCTCGTCTTCTTCAGCTGCCCTAGCCGCAGCTTCTTCAGCAACTCTGGAGGACCCTTCTCCACCTTCACAAGCTTCAATAACCCGTGCAACCTCTTCGGCTGTACGGGCAGCTTCAGCTTCTTCTTCCAGCAGCTGAAACAAGGGATCTCTCTTCTTCCACCAAGGCTTCTGCCTCTGATACAGAGCAACAGCCTCAATTTGGAAGTGGGAAGAGTCTAGGTGAACCTCTCGGCGCCTTGGTTCAGTGATAGGGGGAGCCCGATCAGTTACGACTCGTTCTCGGTTGACGCCAAGGCGAGCGTAATCAATGCCGACGTTGGTCTCGTCCCGTTCTGAAAAAGAAAAGGGGAGAAGTCAATTCAGTTAGTTCGGCACATCACAAGAAAGCAAAATGAAAGAAGAAAAGAGATAATTAAAAGGCCTCGGCCCCAGCCGAAGAAGATTACCATCCCTAAACTTTCGGCTGAGGCCGACAGCTGCCAGCATATTCTCTTGGAAAACATAGTGCGTATCGGGGAGCCAAGTCTCCGGGATATGCTGCATTCGGCCGCTGCCTCCCCGGTTCGGCAGCTTGCCGAAGATGTTCTGCTGATTAAGGTTCGGGTCTGGCCCGCTATCTTCGGGAGGACCTAAACTTCCCATATCAGGATCCGGCTCGGCAAGATACCGGGGAGCGCTGAAAACGTAAGGGTGGCTCGGCTCCGTGGGTGCCCTAACCCAAATCCATTGACCTCTCCAGTCCTTGTCTGAAGAGTCGTTCGGCCACATGGTTAGGAACGGGGGCCGAGACTCAATCCGATACCACCCAGAGCCATGGCATCCGTGCCCACTTTGAATGTTTGGCACAAGCCGATGGAGCCTTTTGAAGCAATGCAGGTTCGGCACGTACCTGAAGAATTTGCAGACCCATAAGTACGTCATTACCCTTCGGATGCTGGTGGGGGTCAGCTGGCACAGGGAAATGTTGTAATGGATCAGCAAGTCTCGGACGAATACGTCCAAAGGGAACCTCAGCCCGTACTGGAGTTGCCTTGTGTACACCCCCACATACCCCGGGGGTGGACGGTGGATTCTATCGGAGGCCGTGGGCATTCGGCACCAATACCCATCGGCTTCAAGGATGCCGTAATGCAACTCAATCTGCTCGGCAAACCGGTACTGATCAGCATTCTCCACCCACCATGAGTAGGGGCGGTTCTTTATCATGGCCGAAGCTACTTCGGCATCCTCCCACTCTGAAAACCCTGGGAGGATATCCCAAAGGACAGCGGGAATTTCATCATCCCGTCCAGAAGCACTCGGCTCATCCGTTCTTTGAGGAGGAGCCGAGGAAAGGGGAGTCGCCCTAATCCCGTCAGCAGGGTCAGACTCCGGCCTTCGACCATTCCAGGTCCCAATCCTATTCCTAGGATCGGGAATCGGCCTTGCTCTTCTTGGAGCACGGGCTCTACCTCTAACTCCTCTTGCCATGGACTATTCCGAAGAGAAAAGTCGAAAAAGGGGAAAGAGTGCAAAGTCGAAGAAAAATGAAATAAAATCAAAGGAATTTACCTTGATCTGAAGCAAAAGTCGCCGATTTACGAATTGGTAGTGACAAGTCTCAGCTTCTAAGCTTAATGCTCGGGGAATTTGCGAAGTTTTGATGCGGGCTCTTGAGCGTTCTTGAGAATTCTGGGTTTGTGTTGATGAATGAGTGGGGAGAGAAGACGCGCCTCTATTTATATCTCCAGAAATGGGAATTCAAGGAGTCTGCGTTTCAATTTCTCTCAAGCACCCCACTAAGTAACCGTTAAACACACGACCTTGCAGTTAAATCGCCCACTACCCGTCCAACTTCCGCAATTATCCACATTAACTGTTGTTATCTCATTAATCATGGGTTAATTATGGTTTAAATTCACATTTTTGGATTAACAAATCATTCACTTCCCTCCTTTTCTGATTAAATCAAACCCGACCCGTCATCCTTCCAAATCGGGTCTGGGGGGCAAGTTGTTTGGGTCCAATTTAGTCCAATTGGGCCTGGTCACTGAATGATCCAATTAAAAGCCCAAGGTTAAGGTTCAACTCTCCAAATGTGCTAAAGTCAAAAATCAACATCCTCAAAGCCATGTCAAGGTCAGTCAACGGCCCAATCAGCTTGGCCCAGCCCAACTGACTTCCGGGCCCAATCCGCCTCCTTCATTAACCAAGGTATAAAAGCCAACAATGTGGTCAATTCTTGGTAAGACAAAAAAGCCTCAAGCAACTAAACTCTTGCACAGCTTTCTCTCTCTAATATACTGACTTAAGCATCGGAGGGGCCTTCCTCGGCGTCCCCCCCGAGGCTAGTTTACGTGTATTTGTTGTGCAGGAAACCCTCGGCTCCTGCGTCGTTCGGACCGAGACCAAGTTCCCTCAAGATAAAAGGATCTTCCGAGATTCGATTGTTTTCATCCGAAACACATAATATCTACTAAAATCTTTACCATTTTAGTCATCTATGGAGAATATTATTAGAAGAGTTGGCTATAATTGGGCCACTTTAGCTTTGTTCATGGCCTTTGCAATGAGCATTGCTACTCAACTTTACGTAGCTAATGCCTCCGATCCTTCTCCCCTTCAAGATTTTTGTGTCGAGGCGCATCACTTTAATTCTGGAGGTATAACGCTCTTCTTCTCATTTTATTTTTGCTACTTATAACATGTAACTCCTTCGTTTTTTTTTTAAATGCATCACTTTGACTTTTGCACTATTCAGATATTATGGTTGACTTAATTTTTTCACCTTTGTAAAATAAATAAATGTTATTATTTAATATAACATAATTAACATTAGATAAGTCATAATGTTTAGTTTTATAATATAATTTTGTTATAATTTTACTAATATATAATTAAAAATATTAACGGTCAAAGTTGTATCCCGAAAAATATATCACTCAAAATGATGCATTTAAAAAAAAAAAAAAAAAAACAGAGGGGGTTTGGATAACGTGATGCTTTCAGTCTACCACACAAAATTTTAACAATTTCAATCAAGTATTTCGTGACGTGAATAGGATGTTAAGGGGTCACGTTGTTAAGCTCACACATATAATTAGCACTTTTAATACTAATTGATCTTAATCTATGCGATTTAAACTGTTTTTCAATCTTCTACTCCGTGCAGCCTATGTGAACGGGAAGTACTGTAAGAACGAGGATGCAGTAACAACGAACGATTTCGTGTTCAAAGGGTTTGACCAACCTGGAGACACAAACAACACTCAAGGAGCTAAGGCCACACTAATCGATATCAACAAATTCGCAGCGGTTAACACGCTAGGGGTGTCCATTGCTCGTGTAGATTTCGGACCGTATGGTCTAAACACTCCTCATTTTCACCCTCTAGGCTCGGAGATATTTGCCGTGCTAGAGGGCACCCTATATGCTGGTTTTGTGACAACTAAGAATAAACTTTATGACACGGTACTTAAAAAAGGTGACATAATTGTTTTTCCACAAGGTTTGTTACATTTTCAACTAAATCTTGATGATACGGACGCTTTTGCAATTGCAACATTTGGTAGCCAAAATCCGGGACGTATTAACATTGCTGATGGTGTGTTTGGAACACCTATCTTAGATGAGGTGCTTACCAAGGCCTTTCAAGTAAATGAGAAGGCGATCGAACAACTTCGAGCTCAATTTTCGACTGACAACGTCTCCGATGATAATCCCCGGAAATCAATTCTAAAACTATTATCTCAAGTTTCAAGATAATAATGCTACTAGTAGTTCATTTTTAAGTATGGTATGTTTGGAAAATATTAATGGGTGATCAAGTTGTGTGATATTCACCCATAAGAGATAAAAGTAGTGCGTGATTTGATGTTTGAGGTTGTATTGGAACTAAATAAAATATTGATGAATATTTCATGTTTTAAAGTCCTACAACTTTCTATTGTTTATGTGTACTGAGTGTATACTGTATAGTATCACTCGTTTGTTGCTATTGTAACAAAGAAACAATAATAGAATCCACTTGACAATAATATCACATAAAAGCCAAGCCAGTTATTTATAATGGGTTAAAAACAATACTAATTAACTACGATACAAACAACACCAAAATTTAGTCATCCCTAATTGTGTCATTATATATAAACTTATATTGGTTTAGAAATCATCCACGATATAATAAGTTGTACCTATATGCTGATATAATAATTTAATCAAATTGATAAAAATTTTGTTATATTGGCTTTTTGGGCAATTTCGGGCCAGGTTCGGATTTTTAGCTAAAAAGTTTTTTTGGCTTGCTCAAACCCGCCCTTATTTGGGCTGGATCGGCCGGTTAGTAGGTCAGACTGTAATTGATTACCATTAATGTGTGTAGAATGTTCGGTTGTAAGATAAAAACTGCCGAGATAATTGGTGATGATGTGGTATTCTTCTATGCTCAGCTCCACTATTGTTATAAATCCAACTAAGCACATTTTGCAAATGATGAATAGTTATTGTCATGTTATTGCAACAAGATAAGAGTGGCAATGGTACATTTCAATTGAACTGGCATCCATGTCCAATAATTGACAATTGTCCAGACTACTGATAGTAACCTTACAAAAATTTGGACACTATATAACTTAGATTTACGGTTAGGAAATTATTTGAGTCACGTTGTTTAATTTCGCACCTTAACTTTGCATTTTAAAGTTTGGTAGATTTTATTTGTAAATGGTGAACTCGTGAGGATATTTATTAGGCTTGGAAACAGGTCAAAAACCTTATATTAATTTTAAAACTATAGAGCATATATTGAAAATTTAGACTTATTTCATGCACCTTCGTATTGTAAATAACTAACTCCTACTATTTATGCGCTTGCAATTTTATAGATGGTGTTTAGGTTAATTGTTTCAAAGTCTTAAAAAATGGTATGTAATACTTGAAATTTTGAGTAAATCGTGTTTTCATTGTGATTTTAAATTTTCAACGGTAATTTATTTTATTTTATTTTTTAAAATAATCAATATGTCTGTGCAATTTTATTTTATTTTATATTTTTTTTTTGGTGTTTAGAGAGCCATAAGAGTGGGGGTGAGAATAGATCTCAGGATTTCCTGAAACCGGGAGGGAAGCTCGAACCACTTGAGCTATCCCTCACTCTCAACAAAACAAACAAAGGTTGATGAGACATTCGACACAAACTTTAGTGTATTTTGTCTCCGATTGTTGTACTATATATGCAATTATTGTACGTACTCTACTCCATATTTTTTTTAATGTAAGATGAAGAACCTTACTGAACCACTACCTCTCACAGGTTAAATCAGTCTAACTCCGTAAGTTAACGCTTGAGAGTAGAGGAGCGAGGTAGGGAGTCCTCCTACCTTCAGGCAAATATAGTTGGTGGGGCTTAAACTTATGAGATCTCAAACTCATAAGATCTAGTCTTCAAAAAAAAAAAAAAAAACACAAAGTCACAATGTGAGTTTCCAACAAATTCCACCAAGCAAACTTTGTTAATTATTGTACTTCATATGTTCAAATCCATTTACTCCCAAATTTCCACATATAAATTAAACTAGTTGTATAACATTCATTATTCACATGTACATACTCACGCTCTAATTTTAAATTTACATAGAGGCATAGAGCACTCTCTAAATGTAAAAAAAAATAAAATTAATTGTATCATGTATGTTAAACACCCGATTATATGATAGAAATTATTACATTTAATCCCCATTATGATAAAAATAATACCAAAAAAACAAAAACAAAACATCTATAAATCTATAATGTGCAATTGAGCACATTATATTGGCACCGTAGTGAAGAATGTCATGCATCATGTTATTGCAACTACGAGTGGCAATGTATATCCAATTAAGACAAGTGTCCAAACTATTGATAGTAACCTTTGCTTAAATGGACACTAACCAATCTTTAGTTGAGAAAATATTTGACTCACGTTGTTTCATTTTCCACCTTAATTTTTATTTGCATCTCAAATTATTTTCGGTATAGTTATATTGATTTGAAGTGGTTATGAACTCGTGATGAAATTAACTAGCTAGCCTCGGAGACGATAATAATACTGTATTATGAAATTATTTTTGCTAAACTAAAGTTATATTTATTTAGCTGATGTAAGTATTATTTATTATTTTATTATTTTCTATTTTATGATATATATTTTTTCAATACAGTTATTGATATTTATTATTTAGCTGAATTTATTTTTATTGGACGTAGATTAATTTTTATTAAATTAAACTTATTTTTACAAGCTGAGTTTATTTTTACTATATCATTTTAGGTATACCTTAAGTGGTTAGTGCTTCCTTCCCGATTCCAGGAGATCCTAGGATCGATTCTCATCCTCACCGTTGTGGCCTTCTAAAGTCTAAACACCAAAAAAAACTTCAATTCATCAATTAAACCTGTATATTTCCGATCATATGCATATTTTGCTATTGACTATAATGCTAAATTATACGTAGTATATATTATGATATAATAGCTTTATTTTCTTTCCCCACATGAAAGATTAAAAATTCTTCAAAAAAATTTGTTTTTTTTTTTTTTTTTTTGCTAGATGAACTTATATTATTCGATCAAGGTCTTAGCTTAATTAATTATTATATGAGGTTTTAATTGGTAAAGGTAAAATGCTTTGGAGTGGAAGAATAAAATGAATAATTCTGATAAACCACCCTTAATTTAACTCTCCAAGCTTGCCACTAAATGAGCCAATGTATTCCTAGCCATCTTCGTATGAGAAATAACAAAATCAGTAATAGACATACTTTGTACATTGTATGGACGCCTATGTCATCAAAAATTAAATTGTTTATCGTTTTTACCACGTACTTGTAGATTGCATCACCTTCAAGCCAAAGTATTATACTCGAAATTAAGCACTGAGTAGCTTACTGTAAGCCATTTAGTACAACCTCGGATACAAGTCATCGAATCACATCCCACTCCAGCACTCCACCTCAATACTCTCTTGGAAGTTCTTGATAGAAAAACAAGAGAGTTGGGAAAAAACAAGAGAGAGAGAAAAACAAATGAAAGGGGAAAAGTTCCACATTGGTTAGGGAGAAAGGTTTTGCCTTGTTTTTATATTGTAATGTCTTATCATTACTTAGTTGGGTGAGTGGCAGACTGGCAGGTAGGTGTTACTCCACACACACAAACTGGTAGGTAGTTGGGTGACTTGGGGAAGTCCTTGATAGATAATTTTTTGGAGAAATTTTATTTCCTTTCTTTGTTAATAGAATTTTTTTTTTAAACAGTTGAGATTATTCTTTTTTTTTTTTTAACTGTTGGGATTACGGAATATAATTAGTCATTAACCCCTTGTTTTTAGCTGACTGATTCAATTCCTTGATTATTGTTTATGTTCCAATCGGATTTGTGAGTACACATAAACTCCGGTGCCGTGCTTATTTTGGTGGCGACTGCTTCTACTCTACTGCACCGGGAGGTAGCGCGGAATCGTCTTCTAGGTTAGTGGTTCTCCACGACGCGGCAATTGTCAGTTTGGTTCACGCATCAAGAGATAAGTAATTTCAGTTTTATTGCTTAGTAGTATAACATACTCTTCATCGTAGCCATTTTTATTTTACCCACATTTTGAATTGTGTAATTTTACGTCCATATTTATATTATCCTAGCTAGATAGCCACAAAGAGAATGAGATCGACCAACAAGCAATTGAGAATTTGAGATTATCGTTGATGATGGGGGAAGAAGAGTAAAACAATTTTTCGCATATGAACGACAAAACTCTACTTTTATGTTATTTGAAATTTAGGACTCATTGGATAACGAACATTTTACACATGAGATTCATGTCAATTGTCAAGGGAAATATATATGGCTGCAATAGCAAATGCAGTCATTCGTTAAGAAATTTCTTTAGTTTAACGTGCAATATTTTTAATTTTTGCTCGGAAATCTTTGCAGATTAATATCATTACTAATGTTATTACGTAGTACGACTTTTGTAAAAAAAAAATAATAATAATAATAATAAAAAAGAATCTACACTTGCCTAATAGAGTTCATTTATCACTAGCTTGTGTTACTGTATATGATAAGATTGTCAACCATAAAATACTTTTTTTGATCTAAATCAACAGAAAAGTATGACTATTTCAAGAAAAATTGCTTTTAATTATTGCAATCTCAGCTATAAATACCCCCCATATAATATCATTTATACTACAACAAATCAAAAATTTCAACTATTAGATACATATATATATAGGATTATAAGTTCGTTCATCTACTTTGCTTATTATATTATTATGTCAATTTTTGGTGTGACTACGTTATACGTAGCCCTTGCTACGAGTTTTATGTTCTACGTAGCCATTGCATCCGATCCTCCACCCCTTCAAGATTTTTGTGTAGGTGTAACTAACCCTCATTCAGCAGGTCCGACCTCTACTCGAGTACTCGCTTACTTGAATTATAAGCTTACTTAGTTATTCTAGAGTACGTACCTATGCATATGCACGCATATGCCTAAGAGTATGTGTTTGGGGTAAAAATACCCTAAACACGTGGCCCAATGGCCTAGTGACACGTGGCCCGTTGGTCAGCAGGGCTCCAATCCTCTGCTGACACGTGTCCTCTAAACCCTAAAAGGGAAACCATCCCTTCCCCACTATAAATAGTGGAAGGACCCTCATTAATGGGGGGCTGGAACATTTGTTGTTCACATTGAATACTCCTCAAAAAGAAAAACACTTACCCCGAGCAATATTAATTGCAGAATTCTCCCATTACGCGAGAAGTAACTTCTACATTACGTGCATTCTACCTCCCGTATCTTTACTAACTTGATCGTCGGAGGCGGAGCTCCTACCCCCAGGAGTCTTCGTGATTTTGCAGGCACAGGCGTCGAA